AAATAATTCTAGCTTAACTTTTGTTACTTTCATACAAGCATCCCATGCTAAACCTGGTGCGGTTAAATAATTTGCTGGGTCGAGCTTGAATGCTGAATATGAGGCTTTACGGAATGCCTCGAATGCATCTGCTAAAATTAATACATCAGTTTTAAGATAGATATCGTGATAATCTCCAAAAGTCTTGCATTCTGTTTCTCGCCAGATCATATGTGCAAAATCATAATCCTTTTGAGATATGGTATAAATTTTTTCGTGTTCACATTCTTTATTTTCTTCACATTCATTGCAATTACCTGGTTCTTTTTTATGCTTACATTTCTGACATTTATGTTTGCATTTCCCTATCTTCTCTCCATGCTCACATTTTTCTATTCTACAATTATGATCACAGTAATTAAACCCATCTAAATCACTATTAAAATCTTTACGTGGTGGGAGCTGTGTCTCATTAAATTTTGTTTTATTATTTAACCATTGATACGGAAAAATTCCTTTACGCGTAAGCAATGATAACAAATGAGGTGAGATGAATTTTGACATAATTGGAAAACATTTGGCTAGTTGTTCTGGTGTTTTGTTTTCCCCCTTTTTTTCATCTTGTAAATTTTCTGCCATCTTAGCTAAACCCGGTAACGAAAATTTCATACTATCTATAAATTGAAGTTGCCCGACTGAGAAAGTGATATATTGTTCAGAATTATTTGCTATAGGCACTATTTTTTCATCCGTCACTTTTGCTATTTCTTGCATTAGATGATGAAAATCGTAGCCACTTCCATTACACAATAATACCGGAATTTTTATTGTTTCTGGATTGATTCGTAATTTTATATTACATCCACTATGAGCAGGACCTCTAAACTTTCCTGTAATATGATCATGATCTATCACTCTGTTTTTTTCCTCGTCTGGTAATTGCGTTTTGCAAATACATACATACCTTACAAGATTTATGTTTTTCTTTTTGCTCATCATCTAACTTACCTTGAATCATTGATTTTTTCCCGTGACATTTTCTATGTGAAGCACCCAAATATTTTTTGGTTTCAGCATCGAATACACGAATTTTATTATATCCAGCTTCATGTAATTTTTCTTCACATATCCAACATTTGTTTGCAGTTTGATATTTTCGCCATAATTCAGGTGTCATTTTTTCACATGGAACTATTTCACGAAGCTTATCTAAAATAACTTCTAGATCTTCTTGAAGGTTTTCCATTAAGTCTTTTATTATATTTTCTGATTCTCAATTAATTACTGGTTTTTGTGTAGTCCCATCTGAACAATGTATTGTATATCCATATGAAATTGCTTTTTGCTCTGCTAATTTTATAGTATTTTCTTCATTATCTTTTTTCTCTACTTCGATTTCTTCTGCTTCAAGATCCATAGTAATTAAATAAGGTTTCTTTAGCATGTTTTTGAAATACTTGGGTTTCACATAGTTTTTACCCTCTTCAGGAAGGATTAATCGTTGTGGTGCTTTACTTGGTCCTGGACATGTTGGAATATGCTTTTCTAATAAATCTAGTCGACTATAAGGAAATCGTAAGCATTTTCGGCAAAAGTATTTTTTTCCATGATGGTTATTCCACTTACGCATTAATCGAGTAAAATCTGTTATAAATACGTAATGCGTTTTTAATCCTTCTGGTATATCATTTGTATTTTTTCGGTCATTTAAATTCTCTTCACCTTCTGTTAAATATAATAAATCTAACATATGTTCGACTTGATAATTTCTTTCAGAGATATGTAATGGGTCTATATCTACTTTTATTTTTCCGAACACTTCTTTATACACTGGCCTAAATATATTTATAGCATAGTTTGGGTTATTTTCCTCGAATTTATCAACATCATGTAGTGTTGCTGGAAAATTTATGCCTTCAAAATTAGCTATATTACCATATCGTCTAATCTTGCTTACACGTTCAAGATGTGTAGGTTTTTGTCCTGCTTTTAGTGCATCTTCTCTTGCATGGTATATATTAACACAATCTCTAAAGCATTCATTGTCTTTGAAATTTTGCAGATTAATTAAACCGAGCTGTGGCTTATCTAAATCTTCTGGTAAAGATAGCCAACTACTACCTTGTAATGGTCTGAATGCGCTTATTTCAAGAAATACTTCTTCTGCTCGAACAAAAGACATCCCGATTCTTGCAATGCCTCGTCTTCTATTTGATCTATAATTTCATTATATCCTTTTTCTATAGTTGCATTGATTCGATCTTCTCTAATAATTTCTATAGTTTCATGCTTGAATGGAAAAGTTTTATATTTGGGTTCTGACGTTTCTGGTTGAATTTTCTTCATATATGCTATTAACACGATTCTTACCTTTAATCCACCCTTAAGAACCAATTCTTTTTTATAAATATCTGCAATTTTTTCTTCGATTGATTCGAAGAAAGCTAATGGCTCACCCTCGGCATAGTATCCTTTTGGTACAAATGCATAATAATCACATACCTCACCTTCATTAAATTTTCTGGCTTCTGCTATTCTATTAATGTATGGATCCTTGATTTTTTCGAAATGAATATCTGGTTCTTCTTCGGCAGTATCATATTCTGAATCACTTGGTTTGCTATCTTTTTCGTTATCTATTTCCATTAAATCATACCATTCTTTATTGTTTTTAGGTATATGCTTTGATCTAATTTTTTTATTGTTTTTTATTTCCGGCTTTGATAACCATTTTATTAATTCATCTATCGTTAAAATTGATTTCTTTTTTTGTTCTTCTTGAGTATTAGAACTTGATCCTGCTTCTGTATTTGGAACATCATCAGTTAAAAGGTCGACTGCTGGCGCACTTGCCTCTCTCGGCTGAAGTGTTGGTGGGTTTTCATCGAACGATATGAGATCACCTTCAGGAGTTGATGGCGGATTTTGCTCTGGAGTAACGTTTTCAGTTTGAGGTGTATTTTGCTCTGGGGTAACGTTTCCTACATTTTGCATTATAAGCAAAGCTGGTTGGCATTGTCCTTTACGAAGGTTTCCATTTAAATTCATGTGTTTATTAAGATCTCGAGTTTTACCAGTTCTTATTTCTCGATCACAACCTGGACATTTAAGTATCTTAGCCATAGTAATATATTTTTCAGTGTTTTTTATTAATATACCAGATCTTTTGTTTAAATAAAAATTAATTATTCATTTATTGAAATGTTTATTGATTATATCGAGGGAGGTAAATATATCAAAAAGTCAGGGGGTAAATATACATGTGAATATATACACAATTCTGGAGAAGTCTGCGGACGTGGGTGTCGACGTCCTGAAGGGTGCCATGAACATTGGAGATCTAAAAAATGTGTTTTATGTGATGATTGTGGAAAACCTACAGCTTCTGCTTGTGGGCGTTGCAAAAAACATTCTAAAGGATATTATGTCATGCAATTTTATGCTCGACAACTTCAGATGCTTGAAGACCACCCATGACTCTTCGAGTCGCCCTTCGGGCCTGCAAGACAATAAAATTTAACTATCTTTTTTACCATAGAAACCTAATTGATAACTAAAAGATTACTATGCTCCGCTACTGCATCGCTCACACCTTAGGTGTATACTCCTTAGTGTTAAGAAACCAATTGTTGACTAAATAGATAACTAATGCTCCGCTACGCTTCGCATTCGGAGTCGCTATGCTCCTCCGGGTCAGAAAGCTAAATAGTAATCAAAATAGTTTAACAAAAAATACACCAAACGTGAACAAATCATCATTGATTTTGATGTCACAATCGAGTTTTTATCATCGAATAGAGAGGATGTGCTCACAATAACAGAAAACTAAATAGTGATCAAAATAGGATATCAAAAAAATACACCATATTTGCATTCCCCCTAAAGGTTTATGCTCACAGTGATAGAATGCTAATTAGCAATCAAATAAGATAACTATGCTCCGCTTCGCTCCGCAACTGCGTTGCACACACCTTAAGGTGTGAGCTCCTTAGTGTTAGAAAGCTAATTGTGAACTAAACAGATAACTATGCTCCGCTTCGCTCCGCATACGGAGTCGCTATGCTCCTCCGCGTCAGAAAACTAAATAGTAATCAAAATAGATATCAAAAAAATACACTACAAGGTGTCATATATAAAAAAATACACTGCATAGAGATTTTATATAAGTTTATCAGAAACATAGTAAAAAGACTGAAATCTATAGAAAAACAATATGTTTTATTTTTTTACACCCAAATTGTCCTAAAACGCCCACTGTTATATTACTAAAACTATCATTCTATTATTAAATTTATAATTAGATTTTTTTAATCATTAAATGAATTATGAGAGTTAATATATAAGTTTATTTATAGAATTGATTAAAAAATATTATTTTTAATGTTTTTAAAAAGTTAAACTCTCTCTCATCTTACCTGAGCTAACATTTTGGCAGCAGTAACATATTGGTTTCCAGGTCCACATATCTTGTCAACTTTGGGAACTGATTCAGTTCCATAAGCAAGAGCTGCAATAGCTTGAGCACCACCAGCTAGTAGAACCTTGGAAGCACCAACCTTATGAGCAACATATAAAACTTCAGGTATAACACTGCCATCTTTACAGGGTGGACTGGCAATAGTAATCTGTTTACAACCTGCGACTTTGGCTGGAATTCCTAACATAAGTGTCGTTGAAGGCAATGTTGCAGTGCCACCAGGAACGTAAAGTCCAACTCGCTCAATCGGTCTACTAAAACGTGAACATACCACACCAGGCATAGTTTCAACAACCAAAGTAGAACGATCATACTGCGCTTCATGAAATTTATAAATATTTTCATAAGCTTGATCAATAGCATTACGTGTGTCATCATCCAACATCATTGCTTCTGAAGGAAAAGGTGCAGAAATCACAGGCGAATCTAGCTTTATGCCATCAAATTTTGCAGTCAATTCAATAAGAGCCTTATCACCTCTTTTATGTACATCATCAACAATGGGACGTACTCTGGACATGATATCATCTGATTCAATAATTGGTCATTGAAGTAATGATAATCTTTTGGTGGCATCAATTTCAGATAAAGTAAAATTTTGCATGCTTATCATTTCTTGGTTTATGGAATTGGATTTTTGATCAACTTCACTATTTGATGTTTCTTTTTCTTGTTTTTTTGATACATCCCATTTTGGTTTCACATCACCTGGTCTTCTAGAAATTTTTTTTGCTCGCTTATCCAAATGTGATTCTATGTCTGATAATGAAACCCCATTAGCTACACATTTGGCAAGAGTGAAATATATCAAGTCAGCAGCTTCCCATATAATTTCCTCTTTACTAGTTGCTGCACATAATTCATCAGCTTCTTCCATGATTTTTGATTTAAGCAAATCAGGGTTTTGAAATAATTTTTGGGTGTAAGAGCCAGGTGGTACAGATGCTTTACGACTTAAGAGTGTTTGTTCTAATTGTGATAAGCCGTTGCTTGAACCAAAACAAGTTTGTGTATTTAAATGACAAAATCCTTGCAATTTCAAAACAAAATTATTTCAAAAAAAAAATAGAAGCAAAAAAAAATAAAGATGGAATTTTTTTAATGTCAACAACATACCACTTCCAAATTGTTTAACAACAAACTTTAATGAGTCATTATCACAATCAATCAGAATTTTTCTTAATTCTTGGATTGCACCCGATGTTGAACCTTTGTACCATAATCCACGTTTTCGACTTTGATAAACACCTGTTCTGGTTTTGATTGCTTCTCTTATGCTTTCAATTGAAGAATAAACAACACCTAATGCTTCATCACTTTCATTTACCACAACTGTAGTAAACAAATTGTCAGGACGATCTGATTTTAGAGTACAACTAAATGAATCAGCTAAATTAATAGTAGAATTGTCATGATTTGACTCCAAAGTAAGCTTTTCAATTGGAACTACTGGTGCTAAATTTTTATCTGAAAATTTTTTTATCAAATCTAATGAATAATTAAAATCTTTTTTCAAGAGATTGACACTAATTTTTGCAAGTCCTCCTGATGATAATATATTTTTTTGATTTAAATCAATAAAATTTTCCAATGTTTTAAAAAGATTTTCAGGATAAGAATTTTTTAATTTTTCAGATAAATCTTGTTCCAAAATAGTGATAATATACCCAGAAACCAATGAATATAACTTGTTAACCAATTGGTCAACTTTACTATTTTGTCCTGATAAATCATAGAGATTTAAATTTATTGCCAACCTTTCTGATGGAATATCAAAAATTTTTTCTGGTAAAGAAGTTGGTGATGATAAAATCAAAGAACCAGGAATGACAATTTTTGCACAACCTTGATCAAGAATTTTTATAACATTTTCCATGTCATTGGAGTTTATATCTTTTATTGGATACACCCAATAAGAGCCCAATTGATAGGTTTTAAGAAAATCTGAAAGTAGATTTATGTCATTAATACTTGGTATACATATAATTACATCTCCAGTTAAACCTATAGATTTGATTGCTAAAAATATAGTAAATCATAATATCTTTAGTTACACTAAAGGCTCCGCTAAAATATAATAAATCATAATATTAAAATATAGTAAATCATAATATTAAAATATAGTAAATCATAATATTAAAATATAGTAAATCGTAATATTAGCCATGTTAGCTCCGCTAAAATATAGTAAATCATCTTTAACAACCGCTAATTCGATTTTTAGAAAAAAAGTAGTATAAAGACAATAAAAAAATATTATTTCATCCCTTTGATATTTCATCTACATAATAAATCAGATAATTGATATGTTATACAGCGTAGAACAAAAATTATTTTTAGATTAAAATTTCAATTTATACACCTGATCATAATAATGATGTAAACATGTACGTGATTAACCAAATTTGATTAATTACCTTTAACGAATATAATTATAAGATTTCACTTATATCATTTATCTCATTTATCTCATTTATCTCATTTGTCTCATCAATAAAGAAATCCTTGTCAATACTTGAAGTATTAGAAGATGTGACTAATGAGTCAGAGACTCGAAGCGTTGTTTTCCCACTTGCCTCAACTTTTGATAAATAATTTGATCCAGAAGTCTGATCGTTTTTATTGGCAACGGTTTTTGAATTCACTTGACTTATTATATACTGAATTTGAGTATCTTTTAAACCCGAAATAGTACTTGCACTATATGTAATATATTTAATTTTATTTATACATATACCCCCTTCTCCAAATAGTTTAAGAATTTTTCGGGCTCTTTCAGTTTTCTTATGCAAATTTACATCAGTAATGTTAGGTAGAAAAGGTTTCATTTCTTTATATATTTGAGATCTTGCTGTCTTATCTTTAATCTTACTATCCGTTGTAAGACTTTTAACCTTATTTTCAAATTCAAAAGAGTAATTATACCAGCACAAAATTTGTTTTTGACCCAATTTAATTGCTTTATCGAATAGATCGGATAAACATTGGGTAGAACCGGGAACCATATCCTGTATACAAGATTTACTAATTTCTATTTCACCGTTATTTGTATCAATTTCAGGAAAATTAGAGGTTAGTTCTTGAATTAAACCTTCTATTATTTGGTTATCAGATTCAGATATCGATATTTCAGAAATATTATCAGGGTTATTATTTTGATCGTGACATTTTTAGGGATGGGGACGGTTTATGACACGTCCGGCGACGAATAATATTTTTATAATTGATCCGTGACGATTAATATACTAAATTGCAGGTGACATTTATATTGCCAAAACAAGACAAATTAATTGTTACTTATAATTTAGTATATTAATCGTCACGGATCAATTATAAAAATATTATTCGTCGCCTAAAGTGACATAAACCGTCCCTATCCCTATTTATTTAAGGGTTCATGGATAAGGTTTTAGTTAATATCGTTGTACAAAATGTATGCAAAGCTTCATTTAAAATCTTTTCTAGTTTTTTAATTTAGTCATTTAAAAAATTTTTGTTATACAGGCATTTTTTTTTTAAATTTTTGGTCTTTTTTATATCTAAAAAAAAAATCTAAATATATCACCACCTAATCGTTTCATCATTATCGCCTCTCACATTTCCATCATCATCATCAATTATAATATCCATATTATCATTGTTGGTACTTTTTTGCATTTAATTTGTAATTAAAAGAAAAGGCAGACCAACTCCTTTTAAAAGCAAGCTGATGAAACAGAAGCCGAAATTATCAATTCTATCTAGTTTAACAAAATGAGGCCAAATTTTTGATTTTGTAATAATATATAATCAATAACAACTTGGTAAAAATTAAAAATTGCTTTTTCTTTTTTGAATAGAATTATGTATGTGACATTGCATTATTTGAAAAATACTGCGGGTCGCATTTTTTTTTCATGCGCATGTCACATCTCTCTATACAGTAGACACTCTTTATAACGGACCTTCTGTTTTGGTAAAAAAAGACTATTATAGAAAAAGGGAATTTGCAAATCATAAACATGTGATCAATTCATAATGCGATACAACAAGATTTTCATAAAAATAAAATATTATTTGTATTAAATATTTGTGAGTAATGCTTTTTTTTTTTATGTTTCAATATCAGAAAAATTACCATCGATTTGATTCGTGACATTTTTAGGGATGGGGACGGTTTATGACACGGCCGGCGACGAATAATATTTTTATAATTGATCCGTGACGATTAATATACTAAATTGCAGGTGACATTTATATTGCCAAAACAAGACAAATTAATTGTTACTTATAATTTAGTATATTAATCGTCACGGATCAATTATAAAAATATTATTCGTCGCCGGACGTGTCATAAACCGTCCCCATCCCTAGACATTTTGTCACGGTTTTTGAATCACATGACTCAGAGAGTCGTTCTTTTGGAGCTGATAAATGCGTATCCTGATCATTTTTTGAGAGAATAGTTTCTGAACTACTCTTCGATGAGTCCTGGATAACCATTTCTCGTTGAATCTTTTTATCTCTGTTTCTCTCCTCCATCATATTACTAACGCTTTCTTTTCCTATCAAATCTGGAGAATCGTCAATCTTTTTATCTTCCGTCGATTTAGGATCTGTACGAATGGGTCGTTTTTTTTCAGAATTTGGTGCATTATCATTCGTAGTTTGATTTCCCTTTATGATCTGTTTTAGTTTTGCATTTTCGATCCTAAGATTACCAATTTCTTTTATGATTCGTTTTAATTCAGTATTTTCAGCCTCAAGTTTAGTATTTTTAGCCTCAAGTCTGGAAAGTCGCTGTCTCAATAAATCAAGCTCTGACGACATTATCAATAATATTTTTTTATATAAGAGGTCGATATATTCAAAATAAAATAGCGAAGCTAGCACAGCTAAAAATCATGCTGATCACTTTTGCAAAAAATTGAAGATGAATCCTCTAGATCTGGAAGAAGAGATCAAATCATTAATAGCGTAATAAAGAAAATAAATTATGATCGAGATTTTTTAGTGAAACTAACTCCGCTAAGCTTGAATAACTTATCTTTATCCTCTGCAATTGTAACTTTTTTTCTTCGATTTCATATAAAAAAGATGTCTAAGTTTAATCAAATAATAAATTTTTTTTTCCGCCATTTTTTTTATATAGAATATAGTATATAGTTATGTCTTACTCACCACTCTGTCGTATGTAATTAGTTTGTATGAAAAAATATACCATCAAACCTTGGTAAACTGAGGCATTTAACAAAAAAAAGATACCATTATCCCAGAAATGGCGATAAATAAAATTGTAGTAACATATTATATTCTAACAATATTCGGATATGTCTTGTTAGCATAACAATCTGGATTCTCGATCCATTTTACCATAACATACCAAGAATTTCCATGAACTACTCTATAGCCTCGTTGACGTAATAATTCTATAACATAGTTTTGCAATCTATCGTGTAATTGGTTTTTCTTGGAACCTATCCAATCATATGGAATATAATATTCCTCGTATGTTCTAATTCTAAATTCAATATCAGGTGGATATCTGTTATATTCTTTTATAAACTCAGAAAATTCCTTAGAGTAACGTAATTTAAATTGATCCAGAGATACAGGATTTTTCAATTTACAAGGAGTTACACCTAAGAATTTCTTTTCATCGGGAATAATATCCGCTTTTACAGCATTCCAAACTTTGGATGTCAATGATTCAGGTCTCTTCTTGAAATTTCTCCAAGCTTGTTGTATAATCCTTGCACGTCCAAAATCGGTTTTAGGTCTAGAACAGTAGTTATCCCAATGATCCTGCATCAGGTCTTTAGGTTCAACCATTTCCGCAAATCTTTTATAAGCATGGTCAAACGTTTTTTTAGGCTTTATATCCACATCAGCACGAAATACCTTCCAACACCCGAAACAGATAGCAGTCCCATTCTTAAGCGGTTTTGGTCTGTAGTAATTTTGGTAATCATCATAACCTACAAGTCTACCTCCAGGATAAGAAGCAAATAAGCAATATCTATGATACATACCAAGTTTATTCTCGCTTAATAAATCTTGAAGATCGATTCTAACTCGTACTGCCCATTGAATAAGTTTTTCGTCTCGTTTTACTATAGACAAGTTGTCATATTTTTTTTCAGTATCAAAGAGTTTCTCAAGATTTTCACCATAATAAATAGGATGATAATAGTTGAGATATATCATAACATACTTCATATCATATCCAGGACGGTTATTAAACGGTTTGGGTAGTTGTCTTTGTTTGTTACCGAGAATAATAGTGATATCTAAACCAGAAATATTTAGCAATTATAATAAGTTTAATGGTTTATATGTGATTTTTATTAACCTATAGTCTAAGAATACATGATTCATTTTTAATAAAGCAGAGATAATCTATAGTAATACTGATATATTAATATGGGAAAAATCGAAATATATATATATATACACACATTAATACGCATGATTTTTAAGAATCTAAACCGTGTGCGGTTAATCCAATTTTAGGGATCCCTGCATATAGTCGCACAAGACATCAACTGACCTCTTACACGTTATATGAACTTCTAATAATAGCCAAATTAGCTCGATTGCACATGAAAACACAAACGTAAACATATTAATATTCGATATATGAAAAATAGCGATTTTTATCCAGAACATATTAATATATCTATTCGTTTCACAATGATTTTTTTTTTGTGATACCGCTAAAAATTATTTTCTATCGTTATTAATAATAAAGCCTTTTCTTATTGTGTATGGTTTCTCCGATAAGAAGAAATGCTAATGAAACTTGAAAAGGATAAAAGAATGGAAGGTTTATTGTTCTTATCAGTAATAATATCAAATTTCATACGTTATGGAACTTGAGATCTTTACAATCTCCGAAGATCGTCGAAATTTGTCTTATTTTACACTTTGAATGAGAGATCGTCAGGCTAAAGGGTTTAAATTCCCCAGAATGACGAAATATATTTAGTGCTTGGTCCTTGTGATTCTAATAGAATTGCCTTGTGAAGAAAGGATCTGGAAAATGGTTGGGGTAACGTAATTACCAATCATGTAATTTTTTCTTCTAGCAGGTTCTCAGGTAACAAATGAAACTACAAATAAGGCGGATTTATGAGGTGGATTTCACCCTTATATTTTTTAACGGAAAAAAGTCTACAATTACAATGGAAGGAACACTTTCAGTTAAATTCGGTAAATAAATTCTTCTATTGACTTTAATAATGTATGGAATGCATGGACATAATCCTATAAAACAATAATACTTTTTTACATAGTGGGACTTGATAACATTTATCTCGCTGTTCATAATGGGGGCGGTAAAAGATTTGACGATGGATCACTAAGTCAAGGAGAACCTACTATGTTGTAAGTTGCATGATTTCTCTAATTGGTTTGGAAGGAAACGATTTTTGTTTTTCTATATAGTATATAACTCATTTTCATCGCTCTGTATGATCATAGGAAAGTTCAAAAAAAGGATTCGTATCTATTGGTCAATAACGAAAGAATACCTCTTGATAATATCATTAATAATCCGGGACAACTAGAAATTCAGACAACAGGAGGATTACGATTAAACTTAGAATACATTAGTGCTAAACCGGGAACCTTCCAAGAAGATGCAGGCGGTGGTAGCATTAAGAGAGAATAATATATACGTTTTTTATATATATATTTAATAAAATATTTTTACGCCTTTTTTGGGTGCTAGTTTTATAATTCATTACTTACATGATACGAAATATCAACTGTAATGCTTATCTAAAATTTTTGAGAATAGCAAGTTTATCAGTATAATATATTATTATATCTTGTATTTGAGCATCTGTTAAACTAGAAATATCATCAATACTACATTCAGAAAAGAATCCGATTTTATCTATCCCAATTCCATTAAACAATGTATAAATTTTTCTAGCCTTTTCAGTCGTCTCACGCAAATCCTCTATCTTTAATTCTGGACGTGCTAAAATCATTTGATTAAATATCTCTGTACTTGCCTTTTGATAATTAATTTTGTTTTTTTGAGCTGACCTTTCTTTCGAATTCCTAGCCGAAGATTGTTTGATTTCCTTAATATCATCATATAATTTTGCAATATTGGCTTTAACCTCGATAGTTTCGGCCTTAATATCGCCATTCTCTTTTCTAAGTTCATTAATCTCGGCTACGAGTTTGGAATTTAATTCCCTCAATGAATCGATTGTAGATTGCATGTTTTCCATTGTAGATTGCATGTTTGCGATTGTTTTATACTATATGCAAGATATATTCAAAAGCTTATTCACATATAAATATTGTAATTCAATTTTGTTGAGAAAAATCGAATCTAATGTTTTTATACTATATGCACGAAATGAAAAAAAATGTATTATGTAATATGGTAGAATCTGAAAAAAACCCATGGTAAACCATTTATATATAATATATTTTTTATTTCCTTGACCATTGATACATTTACGGAAGATAAAAATTGAAGTCATTTATCCATATTAATATAGATATATCAAATATGTCTCGAAAATCTAAGAATAACAGACGAAAAACTCAAAGTAGATTTACCGATAATCCTAAACAGTATATGCAATTCAAAAATCTGGTTAAGTATATGCATGTAATCGACGAAAATTTTATAACAATCATAAATAGGAATACGCAAGATACGAAAGCGATATTTGATTATGTAGAATTATGCAGATATTTAGAGGTAAATAATCTCGATTCAAATATTCTCAGCATGTAGTGGAAAATTATTGGATATGTGTAATAATTAATTAGCTTATTTTTTGACCACCTGGGTCAGTTCATTAATATAGGAAAAAATAAAAAACTCAGTATGAGCGAAACTTTATTGCTTTGCAAATATAATCTATAATTAATGTTAAGGAAGAATCTGTTGGTCTATTGTTTCGGAAAAATTACCAATTGCATCTAGTGATCTGGAACTCATTCGGACATTTGTAAATTCTTTGTTGTGCCATAAATGGATAACATTAAGCCCCTTATCCTGAAGTTCATTGCAAGGCCAATATGGATCCGTTACAACAGCATCCTCGCGAGAAAAATGCACGATCCAAACTTCCAGAGGGCAAAGTTGCTCGGCATACTTAAATACCTGTTCAAAATGATTATCTAATTTTGGTTGGGATACTGTTGCCAATAACTCTAATATAGCCACAGGATTAGTGGCATCATGTTTCTTTATAGTGAGGTCGCAATAAAAATGATGGAAATCACCATCCGCACATATACTCTCTAGATGCCATTGTCCAGTTATTTCAAAACCATGTACCTTTACAAGCCAATTATGCAAGATTCGGTACATCTCTGCGTCATAGACGCTCTCCCTAGGAACTTTTGCACGTTTCTTAGAATCTATGCATAAATGATTCGAACTTTTGTAAGAGCGGAAAGATCCCTGTGCAATAGTATTCTTGTCAAAAGTTCGTACAACGGACTTCACCACCTCAAGAATATTTACTGAACCATTGGCTTGCATAGGTACATCTTCATTGGGGAAAAGGTGACTCATTTCTGGAACTACATATTGCTTTTTCTTTGGTAAAGGGCCTATTATATTTGTAGCACTTCGTTTTTCCCTTAATGTAGATGACGATGATAATGTAGACGATGACGATGATAATGGCGATGTCGATGATAATGGTGATGTCGATACCTTTTTATTCTTGTTAGCTTTGTTCCACAAGCTATTTACTTTATTAACATCGGTCTATATAAAAACAAAATCGAGTGAGAAATATTTCCCAGTAAGCATAATTAGACGAAAAATAAGATTAAGATAGCTGGATGCAGGAATATACCAACAGTTAAGTTTTTGTTGTATTATAAAGGAAGGTACATAACCAATTCCTTCTCCAGAATCAGTAGACCTTTATCAAAAACTTATATTGGTAGATCCCATGATGTCTACTAGAGCGAATCCAATAAACGCATCCAATTCAGAACTTGTAAGAGTAAGTATTACCCCACCCCCATTAGAACGAATCCAATAGGTACAAGAACCTGACTAAAAGTCCCATCTATCTAAATTTACCGCCCTTAATATGCATACCTTTTTGTTCTCTATAAGTTTTTCAGCAATTTCTCGGATGTCTTGTGATATATTTGAATCATTACTGATATTATGTAACGTGTTAAAAAATGCTAGATGGGCTTTATCCTTTTCAGCGTGTTCGTAATTATCGATGACCAAAGAAATATAATGCTGGAGTGACCACTTTTCGTAAGGGAAAAATTCGAAGTACTTTTCATATGGAATACTGTGACAGGTGGATGAGTTTTCTCGGATGTGGGAAGCAGAAGCAACGGACATGATATAATAATTATGTATTAGAAGTTGTATGTTGCGAAAAACAAAAAAAACAATTAGCATATATATTTTCGTTATACTGCCCTTTTTAAACCGTTTTTGTTCATCTCTTTGTATGTCTTCTTTTGGACCTATAGAATGGGTATAATAAAGTGGAAGAAAGAAGTATTTACGCCAAGGAATTCACACAAAGAATCGTGCATACATATTATGGTCGTGTGTACGACACATTAAATTTCTAAAAATAATTTTTGTTGCACAGCCCCAATTAAATGCGTACAACATATTAATTAAATTATCTGATCGATTATGAATTTCTTCTTTACGATTAGAAAAATATGAAAAAGGCGCTCAACTATTTTATACCTGCGTTTAAGAAATATCCATAGAATATGCAGATCATAGAGTCGTTGACTCATATATTTCTTGCATAGGAAGGCTACTCACATAGCATGGATTTCCCTCTGATTTCGCGAAGATATGGTCAGAGAATATATAGAAGGTAGGTATATTTAAAAAGAGTTGTGAAGAATCAGGGTCAGGGATTGAATGAGAGGCTTCTAACTCACGCATCTAAAAAATTTCGCAAAGATCAAAATATATATATGATAAAGCGTGAGTTTGAACTCACGGGCGCAGTAATGTGGCGCAGTAATGTGGATATAAATTCAAATATTATTTTATTAACAACACGTCAAGAATATGAGATTTATCCTTCCAAAACTTTGACTATAACGCAATCGATATCATCTGTACTTAATCTCGATATGGATGACGCTGTAAAAGTTCTGACTTGGTTTATTTTTTCTTTACCAACGGCATCAAAAAGTTTATAGATTTTTCGAGCTTTTTCGGTTCTTTTACGAAGAGCTTCCTTTGTAATTGTTATAGGGATTTGATCACGAAGTTCTCTGTTAAGTATAGCACCAGACGCACTTCCACTATTATTTTTTTTAAGTTCCGTGCGCCGTTTTTTTAAAGCTTCACCGAAATTAAAATAACTATTGATAACCTCTCTATTCGTAACTTCATTTCTAGATTCGGCACGGTCAATTTTGCTAAATAGATATAAAAAAATGGTTGCTTTTTCTGAGGGAGCATTCTCTTCTATAATTCCGGTAACTTGTGGAGAGTTTTCAGTAGATGATAATTCATTGATAAGTTTTTTCAGATTTGATGAATCTTCTCTATTAACTGTTTTCGGTTTTTTATTAGAGGGTTTATCCGCAGACGTAGGATCCCCAACACGCTTGGATGGTAAAGTACTTGCACTCGATGTTCCAGGTATGTCAGATTCCATGCTTTGCGATTGATTATTTTCAGATGGGTCTTCCACCATCGTATCTGGATATGATGGATCATTCCCCAAAAAAGGGTCTAATGCTGAATCACCTGATTTATCTATGCTCATACTTCTTCGAGATGGTTCTCGCATTTGCGGTGACTTTTCTATGCTTTCGATATCCGCACCACAATTTTTAACCGGACATTTGGTTATAGTTTCTCTGATGTTCTCAAGGCAAAGACGATGAAAAATATGTCCACAAGTTAATACGGTGAAAGATTTTTTAAATATATGCAAAAAAATTTCTTCATTGCATATTGAGCATGGTTCTAATTCGGGAATGTCAATATTACTTGCAATACTTTCAGGATGGCCGTTTTTGAGAATATTCAAAGCAAGAGTTCTAAGGCACGTAATATCCATACTGTTGATATTATGCAAATATTTCAATCAAATAATAAGTAGTGTTTTTATAGCCATTTTATAGTCGCGAAGTGATGCTAGTATTTCCGCAAGTCAAAAAATCAAAAAATTGGTAATTTCGGAACAATATTTATCATGAATGGGATTAATTTATTCTCTATGAGCGATCCGTTACCTTTGCCGATCTTAATTGTTTGTGAATTTATCTGATAGGTAAAATCGAAAACTTTGGCACATCTCATACGACGCACAGACCCTCATTCGATGTCAAAAAATAAGCTTAATCGTTTTTATACAACAACAATAGGTACCTCTTATTTATTCGTAAAAACGAGAAGATCTGGTGATCGCATAATATTACACGACATTAGATATTTTTTCTTGCCAAAGTGATCGGCGTTATAAATCACAACGCGCACGTGTTTTTTTACGATATATTGAATAAATCTATTTCCTATATAAAAGAACATGACATCGGAACTTGAATCATTGAAACAAGAGAATGCCAGACTTATGGCTAGAATTGCGGAATTGGAACATGTTGTGGGAGAGAGTACCAGACGCGAAGCTGAGAATGTTGAGCTTAAAGCCGAAGTAACGAAATTAAGGCATGATTTTGAGGAGCTCAAACAGCAAACCCAAGTCATTACTAATGTGCAAGACACGCCTTCTATTGGGAATATTCCTGAACAAAAAGTCTCACGAAGTGAGGATGTTACCGCATCTGATATAACTATTAGCAAAGCTAACCCGACTAATACGTCTGCCTCCGACATTTGCCAGAAGTCAAATACATCTATCTGCACAGAGACTAAATCGTTAGAAGATAAAAAGATCGATGCATTCCTGGAATCAGAACATAAAAGAAGTGTTAGTAATGAGATAAGAAAGAGAAATAGGGAAAAGAAGATTCAACATACCATTTCTTCCGGAATAAATTCTACAACTGAAATTTCCCAAGATACCATATCTACTATAAACGATGATCGAAAAATAATTCAATCGGAATCGGAATGGGCAAAGCCCAGAGTCGAAGACTCATCACAAACTTTTTCTTCCGAAATAACGAAACTAAATAAAATTCCCTATAACCAGAAAGTAGAGCAATATTTAAGGCATGAATTATCTGTTTGCGTCAAAAATGATAGCAGTGAAATTAATAGCGGAGCTAGTGCCAAGGCACATAATGTATTTGATATACAGATTCCCGAATTATCTTTAGAAACAATTATAAGAGGATCTGGAAAAATTACGACACAAAATATAGTTGATGTATTTAATGTTTCTACGAAGACTAGACAAAAAGAGATTTTATGCTGGTATTGTTACTATAAAGCAAATGAGGATCGAATCGAAGATATTAAGCGTATAAATAATATTGATGATCAAAAGGCAAGAACATTGGTATATAACGAAATAAAATTACTTCTTCCTGATATTACTGATATAAATTTGCGACAGAGAACCTTTAAAGCTAAAAAAATTTATACATTATTTATGGGAATTGGGATAGATAGAATTAGACAAGTAACTTGTAGTGCAAGCGCTATTTCAAGCTTAAAAGATGATCAGATTCAAAATATTATAAATTGTTTCCCTAAAAAGTCTACTAATATGGACGATACAGTTAAAAAGTAATAGGCATTGCGGAACCGAACTCGCACGTGATACAACTATCTAGTTCAAACGATATATCAAACACTAAGGTAAGTATATCTGATGAATCGATTCCCTTGGAATCATCTATCGATTCGAAAAGTTTGCCAGAAGCTAAGATAAGTACGTTGTCTAAAAACATTTCGAAAAAATTGCCAGAAGTGCTCATCAAAAATGAATCAGATATAGGCACTCTTATCGATATTTTAAAGAAAAAATACAAAATGACAGAAAAAACATTAGAACGATGGAGAGACGATATTAGTTTTGAATTGCGGGATAACACTGATTACTGGAAAAAAGATCGCGAAAGTATGATAGAAGCCGACTTCCTAGAATATAAACAAAAATTTGAGGCTACGGGCGTCCCTACTACACCATATAAAAATAAACTAAAAGAGCGTTCTTTAGCCCTTATTGCATATGGGTGATTTTAGATGCGGAAGCATGATTCTTCGGTAAAAAATAAAATGTTTGAATCAATGTACGTTTTTAATAATATGAAATACTAGCTTATTGCTTCACAAACACTTTATGACTATATACCTATTTTTTTAACCACAGCAATGCATACAGCATATAAATCCGGATAGTCTAGCTACGCATTTCTGCTAACATCGAATCTATTTCCGCGAGTTGGACTTCAAAAGGATCATAGTGCACTTTATTTGAAAGATCGTTATTCTTAGGCTGAGATTTAGGTTCGGGTTTAGAATCGGAATCGGAATCGGAATCGGAATCAGAAGAAGTGTCGCCCTCAGCATAATAAGTTCCAGAATCAAAACGGTCTATCTTATGTCTCATTGCAATTCTAGCAAGTAAATTAAGACGTTGGGATGTTGGATTTTGGCCACCATGAACTCTAGAAGCGTGCTTACCTCCTATTTTTCTCAATCTTTTGGCAATAATACCATATGGCTTTAAAAATTTGCTAAATGCTCTGGTATTACGTTTTCCATTATCACTATATACAGGATGACGTAACTTTTTCGTTGCTATAGCATTTTGGATCCAAGTAAGTAATTCTCTTGCACGCTTTGGATTCTTTTCCATGGAAAGGAATTGTCGAGGCTCAGGATTAACCTTCTTTTCTCCCTTATTCTTAATATATCCTGTACAATACCAAGAATAACCGGGTTTGTACCATTCCGGAGGGTCTGTTTCATCGGGTTCATAATGGATAATACGAAGAGTAGTAACTTCAGCAGGTCTCATGCTCAGCATCATAATCACGTCTGCGAGATCCTGCATTGTTGGAATTTTAGTAGTATCGATACTTTGAATTCTTCTAAGTCCCTCATCTAAGGAGAAGTGTTTAGGAGTATTAGGAGTTTTAAACGGATCGGTTAATCGCTGTACAAGTTGCTTCTTCTGAACTTCGTTAGAATCTTGAGTAAGTGCTGGAAATTTAGCATATATATCAATTACTTTAGAATCAACTCCAGATTCTTTCAATTCCTTACGGAAAAGCGAAAGACGTGAGCTGGATGCAACAATTTCTTCATCACTATCATTTTTTGTCTTGACTAAATCTAAAGCATGTAAGTAAATATCATACGGATCACCACTTTTAGCGCAATATTGAACTCTTTCCCTAATAGTAAGTTTTTCATTCCTTTTATCCGGTACAAGAGCCTTGATCTGTTCTTCTTTAAATTGACGTCGGCGAAGAGCTTCTTTCACATTTTTACGAGCTTTCCAATCTGGTAACATAGCACCGAGTTCACTAGCATAGATACTTAATTGTGATGGATTAGATTCGGCGGACAAGTTATATTTTTTTAGGATCTGGTCCAAAATTGAGGTAAAATTATTAATTTGGGGCTTTCGGGTTTTTGAAGCAGTGTTCATGATAATACGTATATCGATAAGTAGATTGCGATATATTTATTACCTATTATTTTTTCAAATCAAAATTAATTACCCGCCCTTCATTCATAGATATCACTATACAAAAAAGAATTTTAGAGCCTTTTCTACAAACACGTCCATCCATGTAAGTATACGGTCAAGAATAAAATCCCATTACTAATAGCGGTAATAACTTTCAATTTTGTATACTTTTTGAATTGAACTTTTTGTATCATTATTCATACGAACTGATCAAGTAATAAAATGGGTCTGTCTAGCGAGGAAAAAAAACGTCTATATAAATCATTCCAACAACAGCGCCAAAGTCAAAAATTGGCTGAAGTCAGTGAGGCAAAAAGTCTTTTCGCAGATTTAACGGATCTTGAGTATGAAACTGGTTATAGAGGAGAACGTATTTATTTTAAATATTTACTTCCATCTAATGGACAGAGTACACTTACTTCAGAAGATGATTCGGAAGATGACTCAGAAGATGATTCGGAAGATGATGCAAAGAATATAGCACTCTTGGATGTATATTATCCAGAAGAGATTAATTCTCGATATATAATTCGGGTTGCAGGAAAAGGCTTTACCGCAATAGATCATCCTTCTGAAATTTATAAAATACCGGATGCACATGAATGCATTAACGGGAACAAGCCCCTTCGTCCTATATTAGATATTGATGCAAGACAAAAACCGGATCCTGCAAATCCGAAACTTCCTTCTTTAGATGGCGAAAAAATTACTCGTGATGATTTGATGTCTCGAATTTTAATTGCCTGTGCCGATGCATTAAATCTTATACCAGAATGTATACCGATCTTAAAGGATTTTGCTTTAGCTAGTTCATCAAATATTGATAAATGTAGCTGGCATATTATTTACCCTTATGGGCGATTTATTGACTATAGAGATCTCAAAGGCTTTACGGAAAAAGTCATTGAATTGGTAGGGAAACCTTACTCGAAGTTTATAGATGTTGGCCTTCCCAAGTCACGTTTTAGTCTTCGCCTTCTTGGATCAGCAAAAGAAAAAAGAATAAAAAAACTGGCATTATCTTCATTCAAGAATGGATTTCACGAGCTAGAAGATTATTTAGTTCAACCAAAATCGGATAATTTTGTGATCTGGCCACAAACCTTTTCTTCTGAGAAGCCAGCCGATAAATTCCAGCCTATTGAAGATGAAAATGCACTGGTTAAAGGTGCTAATTTGGTTACTGAAAAATATGAATGGCTTGGGATCGGAAAAATCGGAAAAGGGTTAATTAACTTTCAAGCGCAATCATCTAAAGAATGTCCTATTTGCGAAGTTATACATGAAAAAAATCAATTACACAGGTTTCTTCTAAAAGACGGGCGTTTTATACTCAAATGTTTTCGGCAAAAACAATATAAACCAGCTCACAAGGGATTAGTATTTGGCGAAGTAACTAATAATCTACCAAGACCTAAATGGGGATTAAGTGAAAGAATAGTCAATATCATAAAGCATCCACGTCCACTTGTAGATTTATCCGGGAAAAATATTAATGTTAAAGAGATGGAAGATGCACCAGAAGCTTATCCGGATTTCTCGAGTGACGAACCCACTACAACCTTAATTCGTTCACCCGTTGCTACAGGGAAAACAAAAACTTTAAGAGAGATTCTTAATTCTTTAGCCAAAAGCGAAGCGAATTTACCTTGCTTTAACTGGATTTCATATCGTAAAACTCTTAGCAATGAGACTAAAGCTAAAGTTGAAATATTACAAAATTCAGGACTTCGCGTGTGCCATTATCAGGAAAATGGCGGTGATTTAGCTATACACGACTGGGATGTTATCATCGTCCAGGTCGAAAGTACACATCGTCTTTCTCTTTATGGAGGTCGTTCTTATGTAGTTATCTTAGATGAAGCGAACGCTATCATGCGTCAAATGTCCAGTGGGATCCATGCCCGAGAATCAGAAAATGCTATGCGTGATTTGTTGAAGTTTGCTGTTCACGTTGTGGCTATGGATGCTTTTGCGAATGAATCAACTTTAACCTTCTTAAGACAATATCGAGGTAGAGATATACGAATTTTTGATAACAAGTATCGGACACGTAAAAGTGAATCTGTAAAAATTCTTTATGACCCAGACAAAGGATCAGAGGCTATGCGTAAAGGTCTTTGGATGCTTCAAGAAGGTAAGCGTGTTGTCTTTTCTATGACTTCATGCAAAAAGGCTTGAGCTTTGGCGCTTCAAACCTACAAGTTACGAAAACCAGATGGTTCACCTATCTTGACACGTGTTTATTTTGGTCAAATGGATGGAAAACAACGTCAAGAGGATTTTGTTGATATTAATGCTACCTGGAGTGGTCTTGATTGCGTAATTTATACAAGCACTGTGGAAGCTGGTATCTCCTTTGAAATTCCTAATCATTTCGATGCAATAATAGCAATTAGTAATATCAATACAGGAGTTCACGTTGAAGCTTTTGCACAAATGCTTTACAGAGTTCGTGACTGTCCATCGCGTATAGTTTCTCTTTATCATAGCAAAAAACCTTCCGAGATTTTTAAAGAACCAAATCGTGATCTTATTCGTGCAGAACTTTCAGCTTTAAGACCCAGAGATTTGCCAACTGTTATAAAGGGGCGTCGTGAATGGGATAAAATTGCCGATTGTTATACACTTGATTCATCCCCAACAGTAGAGACTTATATCGAGGTCGAATATCAAAGACGCTTATCAGCCAAATATTTTCCCGAAATTCTTTGCAGTCTTATCGCCAGTACTGGAGCATCTCTTGATCTAGTTTCAGTAGAAAATTCCAACTTGGCTAAGGCTGATCGTGTAAATGTATCTAATGATATTAAAGGAACTGCAAAAAAAATCGAAGTTGCTGAAGCGGAATTAATAGCCAATTCCACAGATATTGATCCCAGTGAAGCTGAATTACTTAAGCAGATTCCTACACGTTCTTTTACTGATAATATGATTCTACAACGGCATTATTTATGGAAAATTTATGCTTCGGGAGATATTGGAGGTAAGAATGACATTCGAGATTGGAGTATGGATAACACTGACTGGACTAAACTCTGTGATATAGATTTCGTAAAAAAATTTAATAGTCCTGAACCTTTACAACATTTTAGAAGACTTGCTTATTTCCGAAGACAAGGTTCTAATACGATTAAAGCCATAGAAAATTTAAAATTCAAAGAAACCATACAATGGGAGGAATCACAAGATTCTTTGGATCCGGCCTCAAATGATTTGCATAAATCCTATTCGGCAAAACAATGGGAGGCAGTTCATGACCTATTCCAATCATTAGGCTTTTCTGATATCGATGATACGAAAATTCTCTCGGGTGATGATGTGTCGAAAGCGTTCGAACAATCATGGGAAAAAATTGTTAAAATTCGACAAGACGCATTATTACTCTTTGGTTTTAAAGAATTACCTGATCTCAAGGCTACAGTGAAATTGATTAATGCTATAGCAGGAAATTGGTGCGGTTATACCATTAAGAGTAGAGCAAAACTTTCAGGACCAAAAGATCAGTGAATGTGGAAACGTACTTATTGGATTGATCGTGAACCATACGGTGAAACTGGTTTCAATAAAGCGGGGACTCCAATACTTCCGCCATATAAACCAGAAGAACCAGAGGTTCAATGCTCTTCATCATCAGCTAATTATATTCAAGAACTCTTTGACTCAATATCTGTTGCCGATACCAACTCAAAATTTACCAATTAATTCAGTGTACCAATGATCTAGTTTAGTAGTATACCTCTGGCAGGAGATTCCTATATTTAACTAACCATTCATCTCAGGTAAGGGGATTTTTTGTTGCCTCTTACAATTAATAAGAAAAAATTCAAATCGAAAAATAATTGCAGGAAAATAATACCAAGGTACCATGGGGATTTTTGTGTTGCGCGATTCTGATTGATCCGATTTTTTAGATTCAGTAGCATGCAAAGTAAGATTAAAATTTTCGATATAGTGATCCGCAAAAGTAATCAAAATTTTTGATACATAAAAGTGATAGCAAAAGTAAGATTTAAAATTTGATATGGTGATACATAAAAGTAAGATTAAAATTTTCGTTCCAGTAATACACAAAGGTATTAGTATGATCCAATTTTTTATACGGAAAAGTGATACGCAAAGGTATGATCTAATTTTTTGATACTAATACGTAAAAGTGATACCCAAAAGTAAGATTAAAATTTTCAACCCAATTTTTTGATATGGTAATACGTAAAAGTAATACGCAAAGGTATCCAATTTTTTGATTTGGTAGTACGTAAAAGTATGATCCAATTTTTTATATGGTGATACGTAAAAGTAAGAATAAATTTTTCGAATCGGTAGCACATAAAAGTATGATCCAATTTTTTTGATCCAAAGTGATACGCAAAAGTATAATCCGATTTTTGATGTATCCAATTTTTATATGGTGATACGAAAAGTGCAAACAAATTTTTTGATTCAGTAATGATCCGATTTTTTAGGAATTTTTTGATCCAAAGTGATACGCAAAAGTGATATGTAAAAGTAAGAACAATTTTTTGATAGTAAAACGACAAAACATAGGTCGATTTTTTGACAAGAAAAAATGATACTCAAAAGCACCAACTATACAAGAAAGGTTTCTAGAGCTCCAAAACATAGTATACTTTCGGTGATAGCCAAAAGTATAATTATTATAGAAAGATATATATTATAAAAATTGTGCTTTTGCATATCACCAAGTAGATACGATTCAGGTATAGAAAAAAGTGATAGCCAAAAGTATAATTAATACAAAATATATATTATAAAAATTGTACCTTTGGATAACACCAGGTAAGTATACAGTTTCGGCACTACGTGCCTCATTCTCGAATTCGAATGGAATGTAAAAAGCCAAAATACGGATTGCCAATTCGGCATTTCATGCCCCATCTCCGCAATCGAAAAAGTTGGCAATTCGCCTAGGAAATGTATTGTTTATAGTGGTATAGGAGATACGTATTTTTTTTTACGAATTGGTTTTTGGTCCAAAGTGGGGGATAGAGGTTCTATTTATACGTTTTTGTAGTAATTTATTAGACTATTTTTGTACTCATAAAAATCGGCATTTCGTGCCTCGTCCTAGTATTGAAGTCAATAGGTCACCAAAAGTCCATCATTATGGACGTCAATAACGATCACTAAAAGTACGACACAAATGCAAACTCGTCGTACCTCAAAGTACGACAAAAATACGAACCAATCGTATAAGTAGGTAACAGTCTACCATAAGTAGGTAACAATATATATATATTGTTACCTACTTGCACTATATTGTTACCTACTTATGTACAAATAAATGTCTGTACTGGCTTACTGACAATACTGGATATATGTCTGGGGAAAAGGGTGGTGCTGTAGTT